TCTCAAATTTCGGGGTTTCAACATCAAATGAGATCAAAGATGAAAGAAGAAGAAGCACCGCGACCACCACCAAGAAAACCAGAACCAGGTATGAGGATGGGGCTTCTCTTTTGCAATAGTGATGATGTCCCATCAAAGATTCAATGGCCTTTGTCAATGGAAGTTGATGTTTCTGCAAAGAAACAAAGTGGATGGAATTTGAAATTTGAAACCCAATTGACATATAAACATGTGTATATGAGGGAAGAAAAAGGAGTCCAAAGAGACTATTTTAATAAAATTGATTAGACTATTTAGTTTTAAGGGGTGGAGATGCATTTGGTCTATTACTGTTCGTTGGGGTCTATCACTGTTCACTGAGTGGATAAATGCGCTGGGTGCTGGCGCATTTATGCTAGAGGTAGAATTGCTCTGAGAGAAAACTAAAAGATAAACAGTTGGATCGTTGAAATATATTATGAAATTTTTCTAAGAAAGTGTGTTAAAAAATGTGTCCTCTTATCATACTATATATATATATATATATATATATATTAAAATGTTACTCTAAATAAATTATAAACTCCTCCCTGCTTATGTTATAATTTGAGAGTTGTTAACTAATATCATGTAACCGTATTTCAGTATCATGTATTAACTTTTTGTAACTCACAAGTTTCACCACCAAAATCCAAAAGGGGCATTTAGAATTAGATGCCTCATTGTGCTATTTGCTAGATTAAACATCTATAGCTTTTAGATTTTTTTTTATTAAACATTTTCCTACATTTTAGGTGCCACATGTATTATAAGTAGCATTTTATTAATTCAAAAGTACACAATTTTCCATTATATATAATGTACCAATTAATTAATAATTATTATATTAATATTCCAAATCTCCTAGAATTTAGTCGACGTATGTTTTAAAAATCTAAGAACTATTCAAATTTGATCTATTTCTACTTCTAATGTGATATATACTTTTGTCATTTCTTCCATGACCATTCAACAATCTTTTCGTGCCATTTCTTTGCTCAGATCAGTGTACACTCTTCCGTTCTCCCTTTTCATTTATATTTATTTCCTTTGTATTTTCATTTTATGCACCTTTTGATTTGAGTATCCATACCATGGTACATTTGGAAAATGGATTCTAGTGGTAGATGGTATTAGGTACATTTCAATTTAGCATTATACATTTGAGGATCCTTACCATGGTACATTTGGAAAATAGAGTCTAGTGGTAGGTGTTAAAAGGTACGTTTAATTTAGCATTGGTACATTTCTAGCCGATATGTTGGTACATGTCAATTTGGCATGGGTACATTTTTATCAGTAGCGGTACATTTCAATTTGGGATTGTTATGTTTTAAGCCAATATTGGTACGTTTCAAATTGGCACATGTACATTTCTATCAGTATCAGTACGTTTCAATTTGGCATTGGTATGTCTCAAGCCAATATTTGTACGTTTCAACATGACATAAGTTCAATTCAAATTAAGCATATGGATAGATGGAGAAACACACATTAAACATATATGCAATCCTCTTCTTTAATGGAACCTCCTCTTTGTTCTTCATGAATCCGTTTTAAGAGACTCCTTATTTGGGAAAGAAATCAAGATGTTTTTCTTTTCTTTCCAAAGAATCAAGATGTTTGTAGTGTTCAAATGGCATAGTAATCGTAAAGATCACAGCATACAAAGCAAGAGTTCTTCTTTCATCACTAAAATGAAACAATGATGAATTCTTCTCCATCAGAAAATCCTTAATGCTCTACTTGAACCAATATTTTTATGGTTACACCATTCCTTAAAGCAGCATAACCAATTATTAGGTATACTTGTTGAACCATGAAACGTACCTCAACTTCTGCAAATCTCTGCCGGAGATAAACAACATGAGGTACAGATAATATACAAGTGAAAGAGAGCTGCAACAGAAAAAATTAAAAAAAGTTCAAAATTAAAAATTCAGGAGATAACATTGATGATTTAATAGTTAATATCTATTAATAATCCCTTAAAAATGGACAGATAATTTTGATAATTTAATAGTTAATATATCCCTTAAAAGGGGCATAAATTATGGCTATTAGAAAACCTCCATCGATTAAAAAGATAAAGTGAGAAATCAACATATAATATCGTTCATTTAAAAGAAATAAACTAATGATATGTAAATAAAAATTTAAAAAATACTTAGGTGGCCATTAGTCCAAGCGTTTTGATCAAATCTTTAAAAGACACAAAAGTTTAACCCGAAAAATATTAAAAAGAGTGGGACATTCTAATTTCTCCAATCAAATTAAGAAAGTAAAAAGAAAACCCCTAAAGTAAAATGGTGATCTTTTATACGGTTGGTTCCAAACTTCCAATGCTAAAAGTGCGATGCCCAACAGAAGGATACTGATAACATTGTTTATGCGAGAAACGTGCCCACTTGCTAAAGTCTGCAAACTTGAAAACGCGAGCTTGCAGTTGCATCTTACATTGCATGCACTCTCTCTCTCTCTCTCTCTCTCTCTCTCTCTCTCTCTCTCTGTGTTGTGATGAAAGTTCCATGCAAGCATTACTGCTTTTGGTTTTGGCTGGCCGCTGGATTTTGGCTGCGGCTTTGCCTTTTGGCAAATTGGGAAGGATTCAGCGCTATGGCTTTATCCATTTTATTAAAGAGTTGCAACTTGCCATTTGTAGCCGTCCATTGTTGTTCCTTGTTTCACGGAAACAATATCTTCTTAGATTTTTACCATTTTTTAACTTTTTTATGGACTTGGAAGTTTGGGAATGGCTATTTTTATATATTTAAAAGGTTAAATTATCAGTAAGTGATCATTTACTATAATGGTGAAAATATGTTAATTCTTTACATGATGGTTTAAATTCAAACTCCGATTATAATAAAAAGTTTTTGAGTGCATTGGGTTTTCCAATATATCACATGAGATACTAATACAGTGTTAGAAGTGATTTAGCATATGATATCATCATCTAGGGTTTAAGGCTTAAATGTTAACAATAGTGCGTGTTCTAATTTAAGTTAATTTGATAGACAACACCAAAAATAAATGTCACATACATAATCTCATCTTCTTAAGAGATATAATTAAGGATGTACCCTTTTCTTCTTTCCCTGTGCAACATAAAGAATTTAGTGTTTAATTTACGCAATGTTTTTGGTGCTTTATGATTAGTCTTTTCAATACCCCTCTAATTTGTTTAATGTTCTCCCAAATTAAAGCACATTTGAACCATGCTTTTGTAACTGGTCTACCTACTTAATATGATATTCTTCCTTTGAACCAAAGTGTGTGGAGAAGGGACGATCGACCAGCGAAGACTGGTGTGAAAAATAGATGCCAACGAATTGCGTCGGTCCTTAATCTTTCACATCCAACACAGAGCAATGAGATTTCGAATTTTGGAATAATAATATTGGCCCATATTCCGTGAGCTGTTCACACATATTTTGCTTGTTAATTATTATTTTATGCAATGTATGTTCCTTGCTTATATTCTAGTGAAAATAAATAAATAAATAAGAAATGGCTTTCCAATTTACGGATCATTGCTAAGTGCACATGAGACACGCCTTCATCTAGATTTTTCTTTATTTTTTGCCTTTTTATCTCTTGGTTATCAAGGGAAGGTAAATAACTTATTTGAAATAGATTTATCGTTATTGTGCCGTTTTGATTCAATAATACATTATTAAACTTAAGTTTCTTTTCATGTGATATTTTATTATTGGACTGAGACATCACGTGACAGTAAATTCGTTTCATTTAAATTGTTGTTCTCAGAAGAGAGATTGAAAGCTACATTGCAATTCCACGCCAAATAGGAGTAGGATTAGTTGAATGTGTTTCTTATTCTTCAAGTAACAACAAGGATCCGTACCTTCTCCAACAGCGAGAGGGAGAGGGAGAGGGAGAGAGATGGGAAAGCAATCTATTTCTTAATTAGTGAATTATGCCGGTCTAACAAAAAACAAAAATCTCATGATCACCGATTGTTTAACAAAACAAATCCATATTAAAACAGGATTATCCATGTGTATTATCTATAGTGATTTTATTAATAGATGTTGTGGATGATGGATGTTTAACACCAATAAATTATTTTAATTTGATCTTAATTAGGGTAACCAAGTTTCTAAAGCTTGTGCATGTAATAGTTTGAGATTTGGTAATAATTTTTGCGGATGCATGATCGAGTTTTAACACTAATTAATCTTAATTAAGATATAGCAATCTTTTTGTTCTCTATTCCCCTATCTGGCAATTACTTTCCAATTTTATACAAATCACTATAGAATTTATTAGCATCCCTTTCTTTAAAGAAGATAGCTTTTAATGCATATAATTAAAAGATAACAACACTAGAAAACTTACCCCCAACTTCTTGGAAAATGGTCTGTGTCACCCGATCTGATGAGCAATCAACCTGCCCAAGTAACAAATCAGAGATCAAATATTCTACACCAAAAATAGGTGTGACCTCTCTACAGTTTCAATAAGTGTTTGACATACAGAAAGACTACACTTATGTTGGATGCAGAAGATTTGGTCTTAACAAATCTCTGTGCCCTAGCAATTGTATTGGGCTGTAAGTTACTTTCCCCAAGTTTTAGAAGGGTAATGACTTCGGCAAGTAATAGTAGGGTAATGATTTTCACAATCTCATTTAGATTGAGTAAATCAAGAAACAATCCAAGGATGAAAAAAAACAAAACTTAAATAGTAGAAAAGAAAACGGGAGTTGTAAAAATCGTTGTCCCGTGACAATTAAGGCGTCCAGGTCGCGTGTGTTGAGTGTGGAAAAAACCACGTTTGAATACGATTGGAAATAGGAAAGCAGTCGTTGGGCCAAAAATATCCTTGCCTATCACGTGCTTTAAAGATATCAAATCACAACCCTAAATATTTTAACAAAAATAAATAAATACTTAAGAAGATTCCTAATTCCTTCGGAAATTATGGAAATAGAAGGGCCCCTATAAATACCAGAGGCAGCTGCTGCTTAATTCATAGTTGTTCTTGTTCGGTTCGCTCCCTTCATTCTTCTTTTGACAAGCAAACCTTCTCTGATTAAACCCTAGATTTTCACCCATGGAGTGGATTCGCGGTAAAGAAATCGGCCGTGGAAGTTTCGCAACCATCTACGCAGCAAAACCCACCAGCCCATCTTCTCACCTTCCGCCGCTGGTGGCCGTCAAGTCGTCTGTATCCGGATACTCTGATTCGCTCAAGAACGAGAAGAAAGTCCTCGACCAAATCGGCTCCTGCCCACAAATCATCCGATGCTTCGGCGACGATCACACAGTCGAGAACGGCGAGAAGTTCTTCAACTTGGTTCTGGAGTACGCCAGAGGCGGGACTCTGGCGGACGAGCTAAAAAGAAACGGCGGACGCTTGCCGGAATTTGATGTTCGACGCCACGCAAAGTCGGTGCTCAGAGGACTTGAATTCATCCACGCAAAAGGGTTCGTCCACTGTGACTTGAAGCTTCAGAACGTCCTGGTTTTCGGCAACGGCGCGGCGAAAATCGCCGACTTCGGGCTGGCCAAGAAAGCAGGGGAATCGGAAAACAAAGTCGAAGTCAGGGGAACGCCGCTATACATGGCGCCGGAATCCGTTAACGACAACGAATACGAGTCCTCCTCCGACATCTGGGCTTTCGGGTGTTTGGTGGCCGAGATGGCGAGCGGGAAACCGGCGTGGGATCACAACCCCGCCATGAACATGTTCAAGATTCTGATGAGGATTGGCGGCGACGAGTTGCCGCAAATTCCGGAGGAATTGAGTGAAGAAGGCAAAGATTTTGTTTCCAAGTGTTTCGTAAAGGACACCAGACAGAGATGGACGGCTGAGATGCTTCTAAAGCACCCATTTGTTTCCGGCGACGATCACACTGTTCTATTGGAGGAGAAGGCGGAGCTTTCAGGCTCTCCAAGAGGGCCATTCGATTTTCCGGATTGGGTTTCAATTGCGAGTTCAGAAATTTCTCCACAATTTGGGGATTTCTCCGGAAAGAATCTGGATTCCGAGTTCGATTGGTCGTCGAGAAAGAGTTTCGTCCCGGCGGCGGATCGGTTGCGGCAGCTGGCAGCAGAGGAGACACCGAATTGGTCGTTCTCTGTAGATTGGGTGACAACCATGTAATTCAAGACTTGAGTAAATTTTCTGCGACAGAGTAGGCGACGGAGGTAAAAAAACAGAGGAGGAGGAGGAGTTAAAGATTCTGAGTTACCGACTATTCGTTGATTCATTTTACCGCCTGTAAATTTAGACTAGGACAGAAACAGATGATTTTAAGTCTGGTCCTGATTGGCGCCACCAGTGGGTGGCTAAAAGTGTACAGAAATTTTTTTATTGACATGAAATACATTATATTTGAGACTATATTTTCCTAGAAAATTGCAGATTTTCCACGAAAATTCGTGTTTGGATATGATGAATCGGTGATTGGTGACGGACTTGTTCTTCTTGACTTTGAAAATTCAAGAACGAGCAACTCAATTTTGTAAACGCATTCACATCGTGTGCTAATTCCAATTCTGTTAACTAACATGTTGAATTGACCCATTGGGTCAATATGCAACTTGGAGGAAAACACACCTTTCATCTTGGCAATTTGGTTTTAAAATGTGTTTTTATTGACCAGATTGATCTTTCATCTCAAGGTCACATGGTATGTGTTTGATTTCAATATTTCCCACGTTGATTTTTGTTTTTGGCTCCAATTCGCCTCGTTTTATTGATGTCATTCGAATGAAGATTTATAATAGAACATGCTAATTTCAATCATAATAATTGGTCATACTTATACATCATTTTAACTTAGAACTGATTTTAGGCCCACGAGTTGGAGCAAGTTGAGGGAGTTTAAAACCTAAACTGTAGGACCTCTAACCCAAGGGTTAGAGTAGATTTAAGCAGTAAAAATTAAGACTTACGAACATAAGATTTCACTGTAGTAATTGGTAAGACTTGAAAGTCATGCTACCCATACTCTTATAATTGGACTGCTGAATTCGATCGCAATCGTCGATCCAACTTGAATATATACAAACTAATTGAAGGTTACATGTATTTTCGTTGTGCGAATTGTTTGAAGCATATGCGGCCAAATTGATTCTTTGCATGTAGAAGTTTCAAATTTGGATAATTCGTTTTAGAGGCATATTAAACAATGCTTTCAGGACCATACGCAATGTACACAAAACACGACTTTTCTTAGAGAAATGCTTTACATGCTATTCTTATGTGCTATATGTTAATGTCCATAAAGTTCTTTTTTCGTTTTTTTTTGTTTTTTTTTTTTGTTTACAGTTGTGGTGGCCAAATTGATTGGATTTGGATTCCATCCGGATCCAAATTGTGGAAATCTTAAGGATCATCACATCTTAATTATTCATCATGCATCGTGTAGTTAGAAATCATTTGACTTTTTTTTACTTAAAATTAAACACAAATAGTACCTGACGAAAACTGATCTCGCGATGTATGATAAACGGTTAGGATGTAAAGATCCTTAGAATGCCCATAAAGTAGATCTAGAGAAGATCTTCTTCCAAATTGAATATACCAAGTGGTTATTGACTGGCAAATGATCACCAAAGGTGGCTACTCAAAAAACATATGCCGATTATTTAAATTATAATACTCCCTAGTGTGAATAAAGAGGAAATAAAAGTTGTTGGAGGAAGAAGCGTTCATGCTTGAGTCAATATATTTTTACAATACATTGTTAGGATAAACTCAAGTTGTAGATTTGTCAACCTCTTTAACACTTAACTACTTTGAACTACTTTGACTTTGAAAAATCACTATGAAGGGTGCAGACAAAAAAGAAAGAAAATGTACGAAACCGAAACTTAGAAAAGAAAAAAAAAAATCACCTATTAGTATTGTTTTTGTTGCAGTCTTAAATTCTTTAGGAATACAATCGTATGAATCTTAATAGATTATGTGTAGATAGTTTCCTAGTTTTCTAGTTTTGCTTGTATTACTTAAATAGTTTTCTAGTTTTACTTGTATTCTTTCTTTCTTATTAGTGTAAATTAAAATATAAGAATCAAAAATCACACGATAGAACTCTCAATCTCTCTCTCTTTTTTTTTTCTGTTTGCCGCCGACCCTCTCTCTATCTTTTCCCTTGGTAAAATAGGCCTTCAACAAATTTTTGTTTTTTATTTTTATTTTATGTATTCTTCCATGGATACATCTTCCAGTCTATTTTCACCGCCCCTCATCCCTATCCTCTCATATTTCCCCTTTATTTTAATAAAAAGGTAAAAATTAAAACAAAATAATTATCAAAGACTAATTGTTAATTACCTTTTCATCGTTGTCTGGTTCCTTTCTTCAATTTTTTTGGCAAATAAGGTTGCTTGTTTGTCGATGCTAAATACTGACACTGGAACATAATTTTGTCGTTGGGGGATTAAATTGGGCTTTAAGCATGGTTAAGGCCCTATGATTTTGAGCGCATCATAAAAGAGATGCAAATTTAATGCCGCTCCTTCATTGGTGCTCGTTACCAAACCTTGAACCCAATATATTTGACCCAAACAAAAAAAAACCCTTCAACCCAATATAGAAGAGAATTGCGGATGATCCGTGGAGAAGAAGATCTGACGATTGTGATCAGCCAAGCCGAGTTTACGGTTGAACCGGCTTTTTTTATGATATGAAATAACAAGTTGTTCCACGTGTGAAGTATAACGGTCACATGTGCTCTATGTCACTCGATATGTGTAAGGTTTCAAAATTCTCCGCACCTGAATGAGGGTGTTGATAGTGCATCCCACATTAAGAAAATGAGGAACCTTACATGTACTTATAAGACTCAAAACACTTAAAGGCTCTTTGCAATAGTGACGTTGAAAACAACTATTTACATCGTGTTTGGGGACAGTGAGAAAACACATAACAAAAACGTTATTCATTTACAAATGGGTAATGCTAGGAAAACCAAATTTTTAAACTAAAATTTGCAAACCAACTTATGTGTCACCGATAGGAAATAAACATATTAATCAACGCTTAAGTAACAATTCAATCATCAACAACCATATCATTTGGTTTTCAAAATTTAGTTTAAAATTTTGGTCTCCCTAACATTGCCATTTTTACGAATATATAAATAAAAGTTTGTTGCAATTTGACACCCTTTAAAAGGTAAACGAAACACCTATTTACAATGGATATTGCAAACCTGATTTTGATGTAGTTAATTTACTAAACAAACAAGCCTTTGGGAGAAGGAAAAAGAAAAGAAAAGAAAAAAAAATAAAAAACCCTTTAAACATCCTGATGAACTAAACATCCCCACAAAAGGAGTGTATATACTTCAAAAATAATTAACCAAATACAAAACTTAAAGCTTCATTTCCCACATAATCAGTAGCATTCTAAAACCCAATGCTATAAACAAATTAATACTATATGCTACAATGCATACTTCTGCTTGGTATATATTAAGAAGTATTGAGAATTAAATTGGTAGCTAGCCTTTCAAAGTATGACTTGTTCAACCCTATATCTTCATAGGAGAATTCTTGAAATACACCGTCATTCAATGCCATTAGATCCTTGATTGTTGGATTTTATTGTACATTCATTCGATGTAATGCCATACACCGAAACAGAGTATAATTTTCACTCCTTGAGACCTAGTCTTTCCACGGTAGCTAGTAAATAGTTTCCCAAATCTATAAACGTTCAAGTAATTTTTCGACATTTTAGTATGAGATTGTAGTTAGTTAATGCATGACGAAGAAAAAAAACACACTACGGGTATCTGTGGGTACTAAAATATTCCAGCTCTCAATTCTTATAGCTGAGTCAGCCAACAGGATCCGCATCGTCGCAGTCAAATCCTGAGCCCTGTTCGGGAAAAAGAAAAAAAAAAAAGGTCCTGAGCCCTGCTTGTTTCCAAGCCCTAAAGATCTGCATTTGTCATTTAGTATTTTTCTGACTCCATGTACATTAATTTTCTATAATTATAGAATCCCTAATAATCAAATAAATTTTTTTTTGAAACTTAGAGAGAGAGAGAGAGAGAGAGAGATAGAGAGAGAGAGAGAGATTATACAAATAACAGTCGTTTTATCACTTAATGACAAAGAGGAGACAATCAATAAATTCGCTAATAGAGTAATCTCTTATGCGAACAATATTGAAGTGCATCAGGGGTGACAGGTCAACTGGTAGATCACAGTCGCTCCTAATACACACTTTCTGAGTCCGCACCTTAGAATGTCCATTCACTGGTAACTACATGTGTTCTTCAAAGCAATGGCCACATTCATCTTCTTAGAATCCATAACTACCGAGCACTCGACCTTCTTGTAGAACTTGGGCTTCACCAATTTTCCCAGAACATAAGCTCTCGACCTCACCGTGAACCTGAGGGCGAACGGCACTGGCTGAGTGGGTGCACCATTTAAGCTGCCCAAGTTTGCTCCCCCACCGTACAGTGGAATTCTATTTCCTACTAATGTTATTGTAATGGTTCTCTGACTCTTTCTCGCCTGGTAAAAGTTATTTATCTGCAAAACCCAATAAACAAATTCATCAAGGAAAAAATGTGAATTACATATTAAAATGGTTAGGGTTTCTTACAGTTCCAGTGGCTACAGTGAGTTGAGAGTAGGAGAGATCCAGAGGTGTTGATTTCACATGGACACCGAAAAATGTAGCAGAGTTACGAAAGGTGAGCTTCACTGTGGAATTCATGGACACCATGCTGGTGGCCACTCCTGAGAAATCCTCACCAGCTTGTACCACAAATTGATCAAATAGAATGCTCTGCATGTAACACATTTTCAAACCAAATTTATGAAAAAGATAAAACAAATTTAAAAAAGGCCCCCATGTTAATAATTTTTCTCACTAAAAAAATGAAAATATATAGAGTGATACCGGACACCAATTTTTGTTATTGAACCGTGGCAAATTATCGACCAAATAATGACTAAAAAGCCGACCGAAATTGCGGAAAAAAACCCGATTAACAAATTTCAATCTTAATCCCTTTCCCCCAAAAGAAGAAATAGTGTAATTGACTGATAGTCTGACATCGAGCGCCAATGTACAGTTCATGAAGTGGTTATTGATGAAATGTACACAAAATATTGACTAATGATATTATGATCAGATAGAGTAGATTGATACTCGAAAGGACGATCTATACCTTCATAGTGATGATGGGCTTCTGGGATCGACTTGCACCCCACAGGATCAAAGAAAAGAGAGAGAAAAGTACAAGGAATCCCCCAATAAAAGCAAGGAAGTAACACCTACGAGTGAGACCATGAGGGTTTCCATCCTCATCGAGAAGCCCTTCTTCTTCAATGGAACCAAACTGATCCTTCCATGGCCTCCAACCCTTGCGG